GAAGAAAACAAAAGCTTAGGAGAAAAGAGTGTGATGAAGTTGGAGCAAGTAGACAAAAAATAAAAAGGAAGCAAAAAACATTGGATTGTAGCTTATGCCACAATCCAGGCTATAATAAAAGAACTTGCAAGTTAAATTATGTGTATCCAGACTCTCATGATGATGAGATATTGCGACAAGAATCCTCATATTCTACTGCATCTTTTGCTCTTATAAAGCTTTAGGTATGAGTTTAGTACACATATCACTCTATTTGATTATATTATTAATACGGTGACTGCAATATTTTCTTAATTATTGGTAAGAAGAGGACCAACTAACCAGGATCATATGCACACAATTCAAGAAAGTAGAGTGACTGGAGATACATTTTTTAGTATATAAGTTTCTGTTGAAAAAGATTGGTTGTTGCTGCTATAAGAGGATGTTTTTTGATACTATAGAATAACCATTTTGTTGCTGAAGATTGGTGTAAAATAGTTGGGATGCTGTCTACGACTATATGTATAGGTTGATACGCCTAGCAGATTATTTTTTGTCGTTAGAAGGCTGATGTAAAAGAGTTGATTTTAGTAACTCTTATTTTGCTACTGTAAATGGCTACTATAGCATACTTTTCAGAAGTTTAACATTTTCTCTACGAAGGAGATGAGTTTAATGACTCTTTATTTTGGTTTTATTTGCTTTTGATGTGTCAAGTGGAATTGATAAAACATATGAAGTTTTTAGTTTCACCTTGTCCTATGAAAATGAAAACAAGAGGAAGGAAAATGTGCATCAGTGAAAGCCAAAATAATGCCTCTTCAGTTAAGAAAGAAGGCAGAGGGCTATTATTTGAGAAAGCACCGTTAAAAAAATTGCTCATTCGGTTAGTTTTTAACTTAGGCTCTTTTAGTGAGACCAAATTTGCTCTACTTTAGCAAAGTTAAGTGATTAAAGATGCTCTGATTATATTTGAAAGATAAAAATAAATCTAGTCTCGTAGATATGGGACATTTTAAGTCAAAAACTCCTATTGTTGTTGTTGGACTAATTTTATCGCAAAAGAAAAACATAAGAGTTTTTTCATGATTATCCATGTGGCCAAAATGTTTATACGCCGATATCTGTTTACAAATTAAAATTTACACGGCAACAGTTATGTACTTTGTATACCTTATTAGTATACACCAATTTTTGTAATGCTACACAAAATGTGAATTGTATATCATGACAGTACGATAATACATATTTATTTTGTATTCGAACATATTTTTTTCTAAATGAACATTATTCGCGGCGTAAATGTCCCATAAAAAGAAACTATTTTCCTTGAATTTCCCTCTTCCAAAACTCTTAAATCTCTAATAAATGTTGTCCTAAAGGATGCCTCCATACTACATCTTAGGACTTTAGTACTTTCTAGCTTTCACCTAATTTCCTTTAAATTGTATTGAAGAATACTAGTAACACTTGGCAAACAAGGCCAGTTTGATTGTATCGTATAATTAAAAGTATTTTATTGTTAATATTTCTGCAAATAACATTTCAAGTTGAAGTTTTAAAAAAGAAACAAAAATCATGGCCAAACGGGCCATACAAATCACTTGTCTTCGATGAAATGGGATTTGGGCCAGCTTTTAAAATGGGCCCATGGGCCGAAAGGACTCGCCCAGGAGGGTAATGACAATCCTTTTATAATGCGCTTCACTCAAAAACCCTAGTCGTCATCGCCGAGCAGCTTCAGAGGGAGAGGAGCAACAAAAGTGATTCAATGGGTATGTTCGTCTAAATCTTTCTTCTGTACTGTACTTTTTGCTAAATTGATTCATGTCGAAAATCTAGCTGAATGCGAATAATCTTTTGTTTTCTTTAGTTTTTTCGTTTGGTTTGGAACAGGTTTATACTTTGAAGCATCTATTAATCTTAGACAGTTGTTGCTTTTGTTCTAATGATTTTGTTGGACCTCTGAATTTTCACTATAATTTGCTGGACTGAATAAAGCAGATCTATAATTTGAATCATACACATATACGTACATATATACATATACGCATATGTGTGTATGTACAAACAGATATATACACGCGCAATCGGTTATATATATATTTTTGATAAAAATGTAATTTTATAACAAAAAGAATTCAGGAGATATGTATGTGTAAATATAATTGGTCTTATATTTTACGGTAAAAGTTGGATAGTTAGAGGTTTTTAATGTAACATTGATGGTTTATGGATATTTGTATTTATGGATATCGGTATTGCTGGAATAGAATGTGATGTTTGATTTTGGTGGAAATATAGGGGCTTACACTTATGTGTCAGAGCTATGGAGGAAGAAGCAGTCAGATGTGATGAGGTTCTTGCAAAGGGTGAGGTGCTGGGAGTACCGACAGCTCCCTTCTATTGTGCGTGTCACTAGGCCTACTCGTCCTGACAAGGCACGCCGCTTGGGCTACAAAGCCAAGCAGGTACATTTCTACTGTGTCCTAGTCATTTTCTTGACAATGTGACTTGATAGTAGATGACAGATATTTTAGCCTTTTGCATGTTTTTTGCCCATGAAATAGTGTAGTAGATGCTCAATGGAAAGAAAGTTTGGATTTTTTTTAATCTTCTGTTTAATATTTTCTGATGACTTTATTCTAGTTATGTTTGTCTCTGTGTTGTATCTTTATTCGTTGGTATTGTTTGATACATACTTCTCTGATTGCCAATTTGCTTGTGGAGACAGTCTGACCATTTTATTATCCAGTGAAAATGAAGTTTTTAATTTTTGTTACTGTTCTGTTTAATGTATTTTAATCATTAGGGGGCTATGACTTGAGTTATATTTGTCTCACTGTTGTTTCTTTTTTAATTTCTTGGCTGTGTTCGATGCATATTCTTTGATTGCCGATTTGCTTGTGAAGGCTATGTGCTGTGTTTTCGTTCTCATTTCTGTGTAGTTTCTAGATACAAAGGATAGCAACCCATATTCCTAAATACTCTGTTTCTGTTGCTCTTTTGAGCAGTATTAATGAATAATTCTTTGCTTTTAATCATGTTACTACACTGTGTCATTTTGCATAGTACCGAATTACTTCCAAGTTGTGATTGGGACCATTATCTTTCCAGGGCTATGTGGTCTACCGTGTTCGTGTGAAACGTGGTGGAAGGAAGAGGCCAGTTCCCAAGGGTATTGTGTATGGTAAACCCACCAACCAGGGGGTCACCCAACTGAAGTTCCAGCGCAGCAAGCGCTCTGTTGCTGAGGAGCGTGCCGGTAGGAAATTGGGTGGTCTTAAAGTCCTCAATTCTTACTGGATTAATGAGGTTTGTGTCTGTACTTTTATTAATTTTCTTGTGCTTCTAGTGCTTTTTTTATGTTCTCATATGCTAGAGTGTGAAATTATTGCATTTCTAATTAAGACTAAGAACTGTATTTCTTGATGCACAAACTTTTTAACTTGACGAGCTAAATCCTAAAATAGTTTGCGAGGTGATTGAATTTATTTTTCTAAAATGCAAACATCACTTTGTAATTGGTTCTACTTCAAGAATGAGTTATTTATAGTTTGTTCTTATTGCCTGTTAGACTCTTTGCACACCATGCTTTAATAATGGTAATTAACTCTAATCTTAAACCTTCTTGAATGCAGGATTCTACCTACAAGTACTATGAGGTGATATTGGTTGACGCAGCCCACGCTGCTATTCGCAACGATCCAAGAATCAACTGGATCTGCAACCCAGTGCATAAGCATAGAGAACTTCGTGGTCTCACCTCAGCTGGTAAGAAATACAGGGGACTCCGAGGAAAGGGACATCTTTACCACAAAAATCGCCCTTCAAGAAGAGGAACCTGGAAAAGGAACCAGACTCTGTCTCTCCGCCGTTACCGCTGATCTGCTTGACCTTTTTGAGAGATTGTCGCTTCCTTAGGTTTTTTGCATTATCTGGTTTTAGCCCTTTTATCTTGAGACTAGTTCAGCTCTTTACATTTTTGAACATCTGAATTTGTATTGAAATCTTTTTTCTTGCGGCGAATGGATTGCGTGTGTGACTTTTATTAAACAATATATATGCAAGTAAATTAAGACCCAAGGTTGTTATCTGAATATATTGAAGTGAAATATTGATGGTGCAATATGAAAAGAAGTAGCATACTCGCGTTCAAGTCTACCCAAAATCTGTGGGTGTATAACCTATATCTATACATTGGTGTTATCTACTTAATTATGGTAAACTAATATACATTTTCTCACTTGCTCGATCCTCCTCCTTTGTTGTCCCTCATTAGAGTCGGGGATTCTATATTGCGACATCCTCGGTTGGTACAATGAACCAATTTGTGCATCAAAAGTATGGATTGTAAAGAAAATGATATGCTTTTTCTTGTTATAATCTTGGATTAACTATGTAGAAGCCAAATGTAGATGATCATTTCTACTTAATTTTGGATTAACCAAGTAAGCACTTTGGGCACAAATTTCTCGATCAAACTTGATGAATTGCCATAAAGACAATACTCTGCTCTATATATATTCCGACTAATCCAGAGATGCCAAACGTCCATATATATTGTACAAGTCGAAATAATCTATTACAACTTCTCTGTCTGCATTCAATCATGTACCTAAAAGACACTTAGGTACTGAAGCTACAGGGTGCGGCAATTAGAAAAAAAAAGATGTTAATTTCTAGTGCAGGATTTTGATTTTGATTTAATTTTATTACGAGATGCCGATTAAAGAAGCATGATTGGATATGTGAGACTATGAAAGGCTTACGTAGCAGGTCACCGTTTGGCTAAGATCTTTGACGACAGACTCATAAATCACTAATACTTTAGGTCTTAATTTGACGGAATATAATATTTTGACTTGTGTAAGATATATGGAAGTCTCCTCTTGTTTGCCGTCTTTGGATTAGATGGAATACACAATTTGTAATTAGTTGGGATATATTATTTCGAATTTAGTTGGAATATATTATCTTGACTTGTACAAGAGAGAGTAAGACGGGATAGTGTATTTATACCTTCTTCAGTTGTATGCAACATTTGCACTAACAAAAAAGAAAGTTTCTTGCTTTCAACAAGCCAAGATTCATAGACTGTCTTATATGTTGCTGCTCTTAACTTCAATAATATTAACTGCACCTAGTCAAGGTATTCTCCAGCTTGAAGTTTTCAATATCTTCCTCTCCTCATGGCACAACCTTATAGAACTGCATATCATTTTCAACCTCCCCGGAATTGGATTAACGGTACATTCTTAAACACACTCATCCTTTTTTCCAGATTTGTGATTAATTTTGTGTAATCTAAACTAAACTCTTAATTTTATATTTTTATTTATTTATTTATTATCGATTTCTGTTCGATTGGTGGATCGTGTTGTTGACTTGTAACGCTGATGAACTGGAATACATGTCCTCGGACTTACAGATCCTAATGGTAAGTTTTCTTGTCTTATTTTAGTGGACTTACAATTCTATCATACAAATCTAGCTTTTTCACGTTGCAACATCGTAAATGAAGTAATAATATTAGCAAATACTTTAAAGTTGTCGTTCCAACTCTCTCCTCCAATAATATTGTACTACTTAAAAACTCAAGGGTATGATAAGAAAAAGAAATGGGGATAATTGGATGTAATTTTAGCTCACTAATAAAAATAAGTTGTGGATTCGAAAACAACATCTATGTCTCTGCGTACGCACTATCCCACTTGTGGAATTATACTTGATAAAATTCTGACATTATTTTACAAAATTAAATTTGCAGGACCAGTGATATACAAGGAAATATACCATTTATTTTACCAATACAACCCTGAAAGTCCAACATGGGGAAACTTAGCTTGGGGTCATTCTACTTCAACTGATCTTGTTAACTGGACTGTTCATCCTCCTGCACTTTTCCCTTCAGATTCATATGACATCAATGGTTGTTGGTCAGGTTCTGCTACAATTCTCCAAAACGGCACACCAGCTATACTTTACACTGGTTGTGACTCACAAGATACTCAACTTCAAAATCTAGCCATACCTAAAGATTTATCAGACCCTTATCTTATCGAATGGATTAAATCGGATCATAATCCGATAATGGTACCTAATCCGGGGGAAGAAACTTTGTTTAGGGACCCGAGCACGGCGTGGTTAGGCCCTGACGATGGAATTTGGAGAGTAATCATAGGGAACGAAAGAGAAGACAATGGAACTGCTCTTTTGTACAGAAGTAAAGATTTTATTCACTGGACTGAAGCTGAGCGTCCCCTGCATTGGACAAATGAAACTAGAATGTGGGAATGTCCTGAACTTTTCCCTGTATTAGTGGACGGTACTGAAAATGGAGTTGACACTTCAGTGTTTTTTCAAGGGGTTAAATATGTATTTAAGATTAGTGTGGCTGGTACTGGTGTTGATTATTATACTATTGGAACTTATGACCATATGTATATATTCCAGATGAAGGATTTGTAGACAATATTGAATCAGGATTAAGATTGGATTATGGAAGGTTTTATGCTTCCAAATCTTTCTTTGACAGTGCTAAAAACAGGAGGATTTTCATTGCTTGGGTTAATGAGTCTACAAGTAGGGAAATTGACATAATCAAAGGATGGTCTGGTCTTCAGGTAATTAATTACTTTGATGCCTTTCTTGTATATGGCACAATACTCAAATATCTTATGAAAAACAATAATATACCTAGTGTATTCTCACAAGTGGGTCGGGAGGTAGTACTCCTACCTTGTAAAAGTAGGAATGTTGTTTTCGGTAGAACCTCGACTCAATAAAAGCAAAATCACACAACAGTTATGACAAACAACTAAGGAAAGAGAAATAGTAACAACAACCATAAAAAATATAATCGAAGCAAAGGAAACATCAGGTAATAATAACGATCTAAAAATAGGGACACACGAGGCTAACACTAGTACTACAACTAAGAAAAAAAAATACAGGTTTGGAAAAGAAATACACTAGACTACTTACTAAGCTACTACCTTATCCTCAAACTCCATACCCTCATATCAAGGGTCATATTCTTTTTAAGCTGAAGATGTGCTATGCCCTGCCCGATCACCTCTCCCCGATACTTCTTCGGCCTCCCTCAATCCAATGAAGTTATAATTATAATCATTGTTTTACAGACGTTTCCTAGGAAAATTTGGCTCGATAAATCTGGAAAGCAATTGGTTCAATGGCCAGTGGAAGAAATTGAAACGCTAAGGACAAACCAAGTTATATTACCAGCTACAACATTAAAAGCAGGTTCAAAAAGTGAAATTTTTGGTGTCACTGGTGCACAGGTATAATTCTTTAAATGTATATAAGCGGCCTTTCTATATTTTGCACAATGATATAAGTATGTTGGTTCTATATATCTACTTATTATTGTTTCAGGCGGATGTAGAAATCTCCTTCTCAATCCCAATCGCAACGCTTGAGCAAGCAGAGGTTCTGGACTCAAGTTGGAGTAATTCACAAGAGCTATGTCGCCAAAATGCTTCATCAGCAAACAGTACTGGTGTAGGACCTTTTGGGTTGCTAGTATTGGCCTCAAATAACATTGAAGAATATACTGCAGTGTTCTTTAGAATTTTCAAAAAGAATGACACGTTTGTTGTGCTAATGGGTTGTGATCAGAAAAAGGTATATATCTCCTCAACTCCTCCTTTAATTTTCTCCCTTTTAGGATGGGGTACATGATCTGCTGCATACAAAAATCACTAGTCTTTAGGCTTATTTGCAGCTGGTGGTGGCAAAATGGATTAAAAAAACAGTTATCCACCCGTATTATCCATTAAAAAATGGGTTGTATAATGAACTTTTTAAAAACGGGTCAAATATGGATAAGAACTATATTATCCGCTTAGAAAATGGATAACCAATGGATAACTAATGAGTTTAACTTTTACATTTATAAAGACTTAAATTAGGGGTTCCTCAAGTTTGGGAGACTAGAAATTCTCCCAAAAGTGATCATATTCAAGAAGCCATGGATAATATAAATATTCACATGATCCACTGGTTTTCAATCCATATTATATATAGGGCGGGCGGATAATTCATACGTTTTAACCCCGCTTATATCTGACCCGACCCGCCCGTTTGCCACCTCTATTTGCAGGATATAAATGCTTTTGAAAATTTAGCTTCCAAATAAACTTTCCTAGTTTCACTAGTCAATACTACTTGATGGAATATGACAAGTTTGAAAGTGTTTGTCTGCATTTACTGCTTAACCTAAAAGAGTTTAAAATTTTCATTATGAATTTTTCAAATGCAGGTCAGTTGAGGGTCTTGACTACGACACAAGCAAATTTGGAGCCTTTTTGGATGTTGATCCTGTTACGGAAAAATTGTCATTGAGGACTTTGGTAAGTTTCACTATCAAAACAATGCAAATCTCCTATTGAATAATGCAATATATTAAGAGCTCCAAATATTATGTGTGATTGTTGAGAGGCATGCCATAGGTTATGTGAATTTCCTATTTATAATCTGGTGATTTCTATCATAGATTTCACATGAGAACTGAAATCCAAAACGATCTATTACTTCTTGACTATAGTTCGTTTGGTACGACGGAAAATATTTTTCAATTTTTTCATGTTTGGTTGGATTAAAAGTTTTGGAAAATATTTTTCAAAACTCTTTTTCAACCTTCTCCACCCATCCCCACCCCAAACTACCCCTACCCACTCACCCCAATCACCTACCCCCACCACACCACACCTACCCCAACCTCGCCCGCCACTCACCCTAAATAGAACTATTAGTAAGAGTACTTTTTTTTCCCATGTTGTAGATAGAGCACTTTTTTTTTTATTTCAACAAAATGAGTACATTCTTTTTATGATATAGTAAACGTATTTTCTTTCATTTCAACAAAACGAATACTTTTTTTTCATGATGTAGAGAAAATATTTTCTTTTATTTCAACAAACTAAGTATTTTCTTTTTCTGATGTAGAAAAATATTTTCTTTCATTTTAACAAAACAAGTACTTTCTTTTCATGATGTTGGAAAAATATTTTCTTTCATTCAACAAAATGAGTAATTTCTTTTCATGCAAGAAATGATACTTTTTTTTTCAACAAAATAAAATATTTTCTTTTTAGTTATCGAACTCAAATTTCAACGTTGTTCTTGTATGAAAAAGTAAAGTAGCATATTAGTTCCTTTGGGTATGTGTGATTTTTGAAAAGAATAATTAAATTCTTGAAGAAAATAGAGTCCGGGTAGAGCGCAGGAAACAGGAGAATTTTGGGAAAAGTGGGTTGAAAAGAATAGCATAAAAAATTATTTTCTTAAAAAACTTTTAGACTCTCAAACTAAACACTAGAAAATATATTTTTTGGAAAAAGTTTTTCACTAACCAACCAAACAAGGGAAAATAAGTAATAAAACCATTTGTTTGCCAGAGGAAAACATTTTCTTGGTACCAAACATTCCACAAGATGTTAGTTTTTGTAACTTGAGCTTAATCTAATTATATGCTTTTTCTTGTTCTTTTTTTAACAGATAGATCATTCCATAGTAGAAAGCTTTGGTGGAGGGGGAAAAGCTTGCATTACAACCAGAGCTTATCCTACTTTGGCTATCAATGATAGTGCCCATATATTTGTTTTCAACAATGGATCCCAAGATGTTGAAATCTCCAGTTTGAGTGCTTGGAATCTAAACCAAGCTCAGATCAACTGAACCGAACGACGAATCATTAACCAATAATTTTATAAGAGATGATCGTTTTCTTCTTAATATTCTTGATCACCAAAAGATTTGGAGGTACGAATAAAGAAAAAAAAAAGGAACATTGAATTTGCCTTTTTATTTTAAGATCAAGTCAGCTTTTGGGAATAGGTGTAAATTTTGCATGAGTTTTCTTATATCTCATAAATTTGGTCGTTGAACACCTGCGTTTTACGTGTTATCTTGTGTCAATTGTTACAAAATTAACTAATAAACCTTTTAATCTACATACATAATAATATCTGTACTAGAGTAATAAAGTAGAAATCAAAGTACCAAAGAGTTACTGCTAGTCGTTTGAACAAAGAAGATCTTAAGAACACTGATGTTATTTTACTGGCCAACTACTTGAATTAGAGATTATTGGATATCATGTAAATGCAAATTAAGATGAAAAAGTGAATAAGGCTACTTAGATATATTATTTAAAATTACATTGTTTTAATTCTATGAGGTACAATAATGTTATCTGATATGATTGGATTATTCAAATCAAAGTGATTAACTTTTTGAAAAGGGAACAACATGAGCTGGCAATAGATATTTATTCTTTTAAATAATAATACAGAGAACCAAATAATTTTGCAATTAATAAGAGTAATTAACTTTGTGATAACCAATAGAGTTGTCCAAAATAACATGTTATAATTTTTAAAACGAGTAAATTAATATACATAAAAGGGAAAATTTTGTACTCAAACATTTAATTTAATTACCTAATTAATGACGAAAAGAATAAATAAACTGATGAAGGTAGCCAATGCATCTGGATATGGATTATTCTTGGATTTAGCTTTCAGATGTATTATTTGTGAAATGATTCTTCCTTATCCTAATAACATTGATAAAATCCATATTGTAAAATATTGTTAATAATTTCCGATCAAGATTTTTTATCAGTCTTGTAAAACCCAAATCGAAAGAATATGGGTAGGCAATCTTTAATGTTCAACGAAAAATTATCTTAAATGTGAATATGTTGACTGTCTTGTTTCGAGATGTACAACTCATCAGCGCCTCAACTTCTATATTGTGGTGAGTTGCTTCATTTTGATTAGTTAGCTACATTTAATAAGAAATTCCGTATCCACAATACTGGTTTTTTAATTTCTCTCTTTCAAAAAGCCAAAGATCCTTGTGAATTATAGGTTAGAATATTGTCATAACGATATTTAATACAAATATTATTTGGTAACCGAGTCAGACTAGACGATATACATATCCAATAAAGCAATAGTTTATCATGATAGCAACTACTAATCCTCAAGAGAATTATGAACAAAGACGTGATACTTTAACCACTCCATTAAAACCAATGTAATATTGCCAATTAATTCCAGCTCCATTTCTCCCCACTTTACACTTTACACTTTACACCCTCAAGTGGACAACATTCAGTTTCAAGTTGGGGGGGAAATGACAGAAAAGTGAAAAGTAAGTTTTACAGAAAAACAGAAGAAGAGCATACTTCTAACTAAACATGGCATTCAATGGGGTATTAGTGGTGTCAGTAGCAAAGTTTTCAGCACAGATTTGGCAATTTTTGGCGTGTTTGCAAGATCCAATAAGCAGCCAACAACTGTTAGATCTTGTTATCTGTTTCCCTCTTCAACGGATTGGTCTCTGTGTTTGGACTTTCCTCTGTTTCCCTCATAACATTTATTCCTACCAACGTTATTCTTACGCTACTTCTTCTACTTCATCATCTCATCATCAAGATTCTGATAATTCCTCTATTTCTTCTTCTTTAAATCTGGGACAGAATTGGGTTGATTTCGACTTGATAATCTGATCTCCCTGTAACTACTCATCACCCATCTACCCAAATTTTATTTTCTGAATGTATATAGTCAATTTGAGTTGACCCTTTTTTTTTTGTATTCCTTTTCTTTTCCAAAAAGGAAGCTTTGGAGCAACGGTAAAATTATGGTAAAATTGTGTTTGTGTTACTTATATGTCACGAGTTCGAGTCGTAAAATCAGCCATTGATGCTTGCATCAGGGTAGACTGCCTACATCGTACCTTGGGGTACGGTTTTTGCCCGGACCTGTGTGAATAGCTACCCTTTATTCTTTTTCTTTCCCCCTCGACACGCATGATTGATTCAGCTGTCTGTTCATTAGTAATGGTGGTGAAATTGCTTCTGTTTCTATAGCAACTGATGTCTTATGTTAAGGTGGTTGATGTTGGATCCATGCGGATGATGAGACTTTGAATTATGGGTGTTCCAAGAATTATTGAGCTTTCCTTCTTATTACTAAAGTCTGAATATTTTGTGGTTCTTGAGCTTGTATTCAGGATTTTAAGACAATTTTCATTGAGCTAGAGTTGGAGGTGATTTTTTTGGATCCTTGTACAGTCAAAAAGAAAGAGTAAACCATCAGCAGTATGTTTATGGTAAAATTTACAGATTACGGTTGCAGCTGCCTAACTTAAGGGCTGGCTTCCAGTAGTACAACACTTATGTGATCCATTGGTGTCATCATTTGCATAACTTTCCTGTTACGATTGCCACTTCTTATTAGCATTTGGTACCAGTTGTTTGTTGTCTCTGTCCATCAGTTCGATACTGCGTGCAGTATGCAGAATTTTATCTTATTGGCAAAAGAGCATAGAGAAATTTAAGAACTCATGTGCACATTTATTTGGTCACCTTTGGGTTGTTGTCTCTCTAGCAAAGTTGTTGGAATTCAGGAGTCGTTTCTCCTTAAAATAAATCATGCTCTGGTTCTCAGCAGATATACGGATACATACTATTATGCATTCAGGCGACATCCAAAACATGCATAATATAAAGCAGTGGCGGACCCGGGATTTTGTGCAAGCGGGTTCAATCTTAGAAGTACATAACTTTAGTCGTAAAATAGAAGTTGTCAAGTGGGTTCAAATAAAATATTTATACAAAATTTACGCAGCTTTAATCCTAATTTATACATATACACAGTATTATTTTTTGATGAAGCAGGTTCAGTTGAACCCGCTTGCCACCACGTGCGTCCGCCACTGATAGAAAGACAAAGAAATGAGCAAAATATTAGTTTCAATTGACATGGAGCAGAACGATTTATAGTAGACATGAATAACACAAGAAAAGATAGAAAGAGCAGGTACCAAAAAATGAAAGAGAAACCAATACATGCAACAGAGAAAATGACTTCAAGGACTAATAAATGGTAAAACAGACTGATGGTGCTTACCGCAGCATAACTGATATCCTCTTCTCTGTAAGTCGTCTTGCGTCAAACAGGCACCATGAGTAGTAATCCATAAAAACAAGCAACTTTTGTCGGAACTCTTCTTTCCAAATAATTTTCCAAGGACAGTGAGTTACTGCAACTCCTCTGTTGAAGCAAAATTTTCTAACAGGAGTTAACTGAGAATCTGCTATTCGTGCAGCCTGTCCAAACAACGCGGTCTTGTTCACCTCCATATTTACTGCTTCCAGTTTCTGCAACGCGGATTATATTAACCCTTTTTATTTCCAGTGACCGAAACTTCTTCTATCCATCTCCAGTGTAACATCGAGATTGTTGTGAATCTTGAAGATGGCTATATAGTAAAGGTCAAGGAACAGCTCTTTCAAAATAGACCTTTCCAGCTATTTATCTGACCATAATCTGATCTTCCTGCCATTGCGCTCCTTCAGTTATCTTTTTCTTATAAAGTCCCACCTCTAATTGGTTTCCATAGTGCAACTACATATGAAGTAGTCACTGGTTTAGTGCACCAGTTATCAGTTTTGCTGTATTGCACTGTTCTCACATTCTTCCAAAATTCAACCCTGCTCATTGTACCTCCTACACTATTCGGGAACAAACTTTCGTTGAGCATTTCAGATTTTTGATTCCCATACCTCATAGTATTTCTTTTTGTCTTAGTCACTATGGGCCATCTGACTCGATGCATTTCTTTCTTCTCAGAATTTCATTACCATAGAAAGTCAGGTTTTATTTTATTCAATCCCTTTTCAACATTTGCACGAACGTGCAGTAAAGACATCAAGTAGGGACACCATACAAAACACTACTGATTAGTATAGTCTTCCTTCCAAAGAAAGGTACAGCTTCTTTCTTGGAGCAAATCTGTTTTTACATCTGTCAATGACACTTTGCCAAGTGCCAGATTCTTTGTGTTTTGCTCCCAGATGTAGCCCAAGATAATCGGTGGGGTTTCCACCTTGATAATCGGTGGGGTTTCCACCTTGCAACCGAATATCACAGCCAAGTCTTCTACTATATGATCAGCATTCACTGACGATATAACATGATATAAACTTAAAGCTGCTTCGTCTGCTGAAAGGCAAAACAGTTCCCTAGCAATGGCACTGTTTGAATCTTTTTTCAGAATACGCAATCCATTAGAAGGGTAAAGCAGGATATCCATAGCTTCGAGGGGGAAGCACCTGATTAAAGCAGAAGCAAGTTTTTTAATCAACAATTGCAATAATGGGTGATCTGGCTTAATGCAGAGCATTGTTTAGCATGAGGTTAGATATTAGCTCCGTCCTAATCTTTGCATTCTTTTATATTCACAAATGTCTTTGTTTGAGTAGACAACACAATCCTCTATACTTGTTCGACAAACTCAGCATACACCATATCTCCAATAATTTGAGATGAAATGCTCGCACTAGTGGGTTTTATGATACTCCTCCATAATCTATTCGAAGCGAATGCATACAGTTGGCTGCTAAATGAGTGCATAGTCACCATTTACCACAACACACAACACCAAAGCTGTTTGTAATGAATTATGCATACAAGTAATCAAGCAGTCACCAATAATCCCTACATGAACATACCCCATCCTTAAAATGGTGAAATCTGTTGGCATCTCTCAGAATTATCTCTCGTCCTGTGACTTTAGATATTAATTTAATAGCAGAATGACAATCACCACAAACCCGAAGATTTTTCATTACTCGTATAGGCATACCTTCAGGCAATTTCATAAGTCCATAGGCCACAGCTAGTTTCTCACTGTGATAATTCAAGCTATGCATCTTCTCTTCTTCATCCACATCATGCAGAGCAAAGCTTCCATCAGGACAATATCCAGCTT